GTATTATATATGTGTATGTATGTATGTATGTATATATATATATATGTATATATATATATGTATGTATGTATGTATGTGTATATATATATATATATATATATATATATATATATCTCACCATGACAGAACTTACATTATTTTTTCCCCTTTTTTTCTTAGATTGAGTTTCGTGATTCATCGCCAGTTGTGGTGACTCGCACAAAATGCTCTTGTGTGACAGGAACTGTTGTGTGCAGTCATACAGTCGCGTTGCTGTTTCAAACAGCACATTACTCTCAGCTCAGGACACCAGTTGTTCCCCCTGTGCATAGCTGCACAGAATCTGAGCAGCAATGGCACAAGCCACGAACAATGGTAACTATACAAAGAAGTTAAATTATGTTTTTTGGTCATATTTTTTAAGTGACTCCTTCCACTGAAAATGTCTTCTTACTTAGGGTGTCAGGCCAGGGCCTATCAAGTCCATGGTCTTCACTAAGCCAGTACCAAACAGGATGGTGCAGACTGGAGTGAGGTAATTTGAATTTCCCATTTTACTACATATGCTGCTGTTAATTCTGTTAATACTGTTGATGCATTATTATTTAATTTTCTGTTTTCTTCACTTTTCCTTATCAATGTGCTTTATAGAAGTGGATTCTACAGAGGTATGGTGGGTCCCTTGCCAGACCCCTGTATGTTCAGAATTGAGGAGGTATATGCTAAATTCAGCATGGAGGACAGGCCACTCGTAACCACAATGAACATGGGACCTGACAAGCCCCTTGTGGAAAGTGCCTTTGGGCTGGTGCAGAGGGGCAGTGTTCTTTCTTACCAAAAGCCAGCACTGACATCCCGGCATATCACACTCCACCATGACGCACCACCAACCCCACACTTGCCTCTAGAGGATTACACCATATTGCCATCTGACTGTGCGTTTGTGTGCTCTGAAGAGGAGCTACTACATCTCAGCAGCTTGACCGTGACAATGGAGATGGCTCACAAAATTGAGCAGGCTACACGTGAGCAAAGCTCTTGCTCTGAGTGGCATCTTCTCCGCCGACCAAGGGTGACTGCATCTAGGTTTCGCGAGGTGTGTCATGTCAGAGGCCAGAGCTCTGCAGAGTCACTTGCAGAGCGCATATTAAAGGGAACAAAGCAGACAGCAGACATGAGGAGGGGTGCTGAGATGGAGCCAGCAGTAGCAGCTGAGTACAGTCAGCTTATAAATGTTAATTATGCACCTTGCGGTCTTGTCATCCACCCTGCTACACCCTGGCTTGCTGCGTCCCCTGATGGTGTTGTTTTTGACCCCACTGAATATCCCCAGTTTGGACTTGTTGAATTCAAATGCCCAAATGTGCACAACTTCATTGACTGTAAATATGTACAAATGGAACGTGGTTCCCCTCAACTTAAGAAGAGCCATGCGTACTACTGGCAAGTGCAAGGACAGCTGCTCATCACAGGGATGCAGTGGTGCGACTTTGTTGTGTGGGCGCAGGAGGACTATCTTGTGCAACGAATATTTGTAGATCCAGAACTTCAGAGAGCAATCAGAGATAAAGCAGACCATTTCTTTTTCTACACATACATGCCAAAATACCTGTGTCTGAAAAATGAGCAATGAAAGCAGAGGAAAACCCAAGCTGCACCCTAACTCTCATACAATGCACTACATAAAATGTGTCCTAATCAGTTTAATTGTGTGAATAAATTGTGTTAAGAATGCACACTGAATACTGGGGCTCTTAAATTAACAGCTGACAAATCTATCACAGTTACAGTTGTGTGAAAAAGTATTTTTCCCCTTCCTGGTTTCTTATTTTTTGCATGTTAGTCACACTTAAATGTTTGTGATCATCAAACAAATCTAAATGTGAGACAAAGATAACACAAGTAAACAGAAAATGCAGTTTTTAAATGAAGATTTTTATTAGTAAGGGAGGAAAAAAATCCAAACTTAAATGTCCCTGTGTGAAAAAGTGATTGCCAGACAGATCTCAGTTACTTGGTTTTTACATTTTACCTGATTTTCTTTTGGATCGCAGCATGTCTAACTTTTGAGGATCTTTTGGTCTATTAGTGATTTCTTGATTGAGAACAGGTGTGGCAGTAATCCAGCCTAGAGAAATTGAACTCAGCTTTCCAAAGATGTGATAAACCACAGTTTATTTATGTTTTAACAAGGGGGGGAATCACTTTTTCACACAGGTATTGTTGGTATTATATCCTTCTATATTTCCTGATAAATGTCAGTCATTGAAACATGTGATTTGGTAGATTAAGGCACTTGATTTTACACATTTATCCCATATGTTAGAGTTCAGACATACTAAATGTCCAATAGTTTTAGCATTTTCAATAGCTAATTGATGTTTTATTTGACACACTTTTTCAGAGTCTTAAGTAAAAACATGAATGCCAAAAATATAAATAAACATTTTATTCACAGAAAAGACAATGTGATGATTGAAAATGTAATTTTGAGTAAATCATTAAATGCATAATTCAACCGTTACTGCCTTTGTCTTTTGATTCAACATTTACTGGTAAATGTGAATGATTTCAACAATGTTAGGTTTAACTTAATTTACATCCAACAAATTCATTCGTTACTATGAGGTGCCCCCAGGGACATAAATCAGAATTAACTTGCATATACACATATTAAATTACACTCTTCCATATAATATACTGAAAACCTCACACAAACACTAGTAAAAAGCTCTCACATAAACTAGTGAAAACATTTACCTCTTATATAATCTACTCAAAAGCTCTCATACAAAGTAGTGAGAACTGTTCATATAAACTGGTGAAAAGCTTTACCTTTCATACACACTACTAGAAAGCTTTCATATACACTATTAGAACGCTCTCATATACACTATTAGAAAGCTCTCATATACACTACTGGTAGCGTGTATGAGAGCTTTCTAATAGTGTGTATGAGAGCTTTCTAATAGTGTATATGAGAGCGTTCTAATAGTGTATATGAGAGCATTCTAATAGTGTGTATGAGAGCTTTCTAATAGTGTATATGAGAGCATTCTAATAGTGTGTATGAGAGCTTTCTAATAGTGTATATGAGAGCGTTCTAATAGTGTTTATGAGAGCGTTCTAATAGTGTTTATGAGAGCATTCTAATAGTGTTTATGAGAGCGTTCTAATAGTGTTTATGAGAGCGTTCTAATAGTGTTTATGAGAGCATTCTAATAGTGTTTATGAGAGCGTTCTAATAGTGTTTATGAGAGCGTTCTAATAGTGTATATGAGAGCGTTCTAATAGTGTTTATGAGAGCGTTCTAATAGTGTATATGAGAGCGTTCTAATAGTGTTTATGAGAGCGTCCTAATAGTGTTTATGAGAGCGTTCTAATAGTGTATATGAGAGCGTTCTAATAGTGTTTATGAGAGCGTTCTAATAGTGTTTATGAGAGCGTTCTAATAGTGTATATGAGAGCGTTCTAATAGTGTTTATGAGAGCGTTCTAATAGTGTATATGAGAGCGTTCTAATAGTGTTTATGAGAGCGTTCTAATAGTGTTTATGAGAGCGTTCTAATAGTGTATATGAGAGCGTTCTAATAGTGTTTATGAGAGCGTTCTAATAGTGTTTATGAGAGCGTTCTAATAGTGTATATGAGAGCGTTCTAATAGTGTTTATGAGAGCGTTCTAATAGTGTATATGAGAGCGTTCTAATAGTGTTTATGAGAGCGTCCTAATAGTGTTTATGAGAGCGTCCTAATAGTGTATATGAGAGCGTTCTAATAGTGTTTATGAGAGCGTTCTAATAGTGTTTATGAGAGCGTTCTAATAGTGTATATGAGAGCGTTCTAATAGTGTTTATGAGAGCGTTCTAATAGTGTATATGAGAGCGTTCTAATAGTGTATATGAGAGCGTTCTAATAGTGTATATGAGAGCGTTCTAATAGTGTATATGAGAGCGTTCTAATAGTGTTTATGAGAGCGTCCTAATAGTGTTTATGAGAGCGTCCTAATAGTGTATATGAGAGCGTTCTAATAGTGTTTATGAGAGCGTTCTAATAGTGTTTATGAGAGCGTTCTAATAGTGTATATGAGAGCGTTCTAATAGTGTTTATGAGAGCGTTCTAATAGTGTATATGAGAGCGTTCTAATAGTGTATATGAGAGCGTTCTAATAGTGTATATGAGAGCGTTCTAATAGTGTATATGAGAGCGTTCTAATAGTGTATATGAGAGCGTTCTAATAGTTTATATGAGAGCGTTCTAATAGTGTTTATGAGAGCGTTCTAATAGTGTATATGAGAGCGTTCTAATAGTGTTTATGAGAGCATTCTAATAGTGTATATGAGAGCGTTCTAATAGTGTTTATGAGAGCATTCTAATAGTGTATATGAGAGCGTTCTAATAGTGTTTATGAGAGCGTTCTAATAGTGTTTATGAGAGCGTTCTAATAGTGTATATGAGAGCGTTCTAATAGTGTATATGAGAGCGTTCTAATAGTGTATATGAGAGCGTTCTAATAGTGTATATGAGAGCGTTCTAATAGTGTATATGAGAGCGTTCTAATAGTGTTTATGAGAGCGTTCTAATAGTGTATATGAGAGCGTTCTAATAGTGTTTATGAGAGCGTTCTAATAGTGTTTATGAGAGCGTTCTAATAGTGTATATGAGAGCGTTCTAATAGTGTATATGAGAGCGTTCTAATAGTGTTTATGAGAGCGTTCTAATAGTGTATATGAGAGCGTTCTAATAGTGTATATGAGAGCGTTCTAATAGTGTATATGAGAGCGTTCTAATAGTGTTTATGAGAGCGTTCTAATAGTGTATATGAGAGCGTTCTAATAGTGTTTATGAGAGCGTTCTAATAGTGTTTATGAGAGCGTTCTAATAGTGTATATGAGAGCATTCTAATAGTGTTTATGAGAGCGTTCTAATAGTGTATATGAGAGCATTCTAATAGTGTTTATGAGAGCGTTCTAATAGTGTATATGAGAGCGTTCTAATAGTGTATATGAGAGCGTTCTAATAGTGTATATGAGAGCGTTCTAATAGTGTTTATGAGAGCGTTCTAATAGTGTTTATGAGAGCGTTCTAATAGTGTATATGAGAGCGTTCTAGTAGTGTATATGAGAGCGTTCTAATAGTGTATATGAAAGCTTTCTAGTAGTGTGTATGAAAGGTAAAGCTTTTCACCAGTTTATATGAACAGTTCTCACTACTTTGTATGAGAGCTTTTGAGTAGATCATATAAGAGGTAAATGTTTTCACTAGTTTATGTGAGAGCTTTTTACTAGTGTTTGTGTGAGGTTTTCAGTATATTATATGGAAGAGTGTAATTTAATATGTGTATATGCAAGTTAATTCTGATTTATGTCCCTGGGGGCACCTCATACGTTACAGGCAATACTTTTGTAAAGTTAAACTGTATTTGAACTGTAACACATTGATGTTGATAAAAATGTTTTACAACGTATTAAATATGTGGTAAGATTGTGTTGGCCGACACTGAAAATGTACAGGTTTTAGTTGTGATCTCAACTATAGATAAAAAAATGTAATGTTTGTCATGTGCTGCTTGCACCAGATATGGAAGGCCCTGGGTCACAGCTATTGAATTGATGACTTTATAAACCTCCCAACCACAGAATATATGTGGCAAAAATTGAAAATTGTTGCCCTCTATCCAATCTGACTGAACGTTTGACGACCTTCACAGTAGACATACAAGTATAAACCTATTACCCACGATATGAAATACCTAAAAACAAGGCCCTCATGCCCAAACAGTGATGCAAGAAATATGATAGTTGATCAAGCAAGAACAATTTTGCAAGGTATTGTGCATTTCAGAGTCACTGCAAAAAGCAGACATCTAATCGTAAAAGTAATGTATTTCCCCTAATTTGAGCAGGTAAGTAAGACAATTTACTAGTGGAAAAAAGTATTTATGTTTACACAAGAAAAAATAACCCCTTAACTTACTGATCTGAAGTTTTTAATATCTACAGTACTTATTTTGGGTCAAAACACACATTATGTTCACAGATCACCTGCTCAATTTAAGAGGATTTTATTTTTTAAGAAATTTTTACCTATTTTTCAGATCAGTTTTTGCAGTGTATTGGTACCTGCTGTGTGGAATAATTTATTTGCCACATCAGCATCAACATTTTTTATCTATTTATAAAGTATATAAGTATAAACAACTCTAATTTAATTAAACATAGCAGACATTTATTCACTTCAGTCTTACAATTTATAATGTTTTACCTCAGTGATTCCCAACCAGGGGTACACTTCCCCCTAGTGGTCTGCTAGTGGATTGCAAGGGCTACATGAAAATACATCTTTTTTAGGTAATGAAATAAAAATAGGGCTGGAATCTGTTCTGCTTTAAGAGGACACAACTAAAATAAATAAAATAAGCTTTTTTCAACAAAAAAATCAAGTTTTTCTTATATGTTCACCTTCAGGTTTGACCCACATCAAGCAGAGGAACAGCCTGGATGTAGAGAACAGCCTGGGATCAGCTGTTTTTCCACTCCTGATCAAAGCAAGCTCTGGTGTCATGAACAATGAAAACAAAGTACAACAAAACAAAACAAAGTAAAACAACTGGAGTGAGTCTGACTATTATTTTTGTTCAGTATTTTGTTCCCAATTCCTCAAGTTTAAATGTGATTATAGTGGAGTTACTAGGAGGAGCTGTGGTTTCTACAAAGGCAGAGTTATAGTAGGATTTTATGATCTATTTATGTTTTTGTTTAGTTCCTTAGTAACTTCCAGGCAGCATATTTATGTTTTTTTATTGGAGTTGAAAATAATAACATGCCAAAGAAATAATTGTTTAAGTGAAAATATTAAATGAATTACTTTTTATTATATAATCAGTTATGTACATTCCACTTCTTGACAGTCATCAATACTTTTGAATAAAGGGGGTAATCATGGTATGACAAAATGCACAAAGGGGTACACAAGTAAAAAAAAAAAAGGTTGGGAAACATTGTTTTACCTTCTTTACTTTGCTGTCTTCATTTTACCTCCTCATTGGATTTTCCTCTGTAATCTTCACTGATCTTGGCTACATCCCACTGGAATAGTTTGCATGTTTCTCAGAGGGGTGTAGAAGTTGCAGTGATTTAAGGAGCAGTGGGGTTAAGGTGTTAATAAACCTCTCTGATAGGAGTCAACCCACAAAGAGCACCACTCATTTACCCAGGCAGCCTGAACAGATTGGGACATTTATGGGGTTTTTGCCTGCTCCTTGCATTACTGAGGAAATGATGGAAGCACGGGTAGCCTGAAGTGCCTTAGAAAGAGGACAGACATGATGTATGTTGTCTTTAAGCAGAGATGAGACAGAGTAGGATGGCGCCACTGAGAATCTGGGCCTCAAGGGACTAAAGAAGATAGTAAAAAAAGTCTTTGAGCT